TGATTATTTCATCTATTAAGCAACGATTTCCTGAGTAATGTATTTTCCTTAGGATAGATTTATAGAAATGGAATTACAGGGTGAAATTATATGAATATCTTCAAGTCTTTTGCTATAATATTGCCAATTATTTTTCAGAGATTTTATCAGTTTATACTCAGACTCCCATTATGTGACAGTAACTGTTCTCAAAGCACTCTTATCAGTAATGAAAATTGTTTCAGGCCAGGCATCACATAATCCCAGCATTTTGGGAGGCTGAGGCGGGCGGATCATGAGGTCAGGAGTTCGAGACCAGCCTGGTCAACATAGTGAAACCCCAACTCTACTAAAAATACAAAAATTAGCTGGGCATGTTGGCACGTGCCTGTAGTCCCAGCTATTCGGGAGGCTGAGGCAGGAGAATCACTTGAACCCGGGAGGTGGAGGTTGTGGTGAGCCAGATTGTGCCACTGCACTCCAGCCGGAGCAAGAGAGTGGTCTCAAAAAAAAAAAAAAGAAAAGAAAATTGTTTTAAATCAGTTAATTTAGTTGGAGGAGAAATAGCATCTTATTTTAATTTTTTATTTCTTTGAAAATATTTTATATGTTGTTTGAACATTTCTATCTGTTTCTTTATTAAGAATATTCTTTGCTCTATTCATAGCAATTATTTTATCTTTTTAATTTGATGGGATTGTTTGTTTACAGTTAGTAGTAAAGTCTATTGTTCTCCTTTGTGATTGCTTGAGAAGAGCTTATGATTTCGTGAGATAAGACTGGTGTTTCTAGGAAGGCTGTGTATAAGAGGGAAAGGAGAAAGTAAGGTTGACCAGGGCACTGCATCTAGCTCATAGCCTTTAGGCCCAGGGTGTTCACAATGGTTCACTGTAGCTTTGTATCACTTCTTGGCACAGCTCTGAGCTGCCTCCACTTTAACTAGGAAGTGGGAAGAGTAATTGTTTCCTTCATTATTTTTCTAAGCCAACTGCATTATGGGGATTGACCTAATGCTTAGCTCCAGCAGAGGTGGGTGGGACCTGGCAGAGCTGTTTCATAGCCTCTCTTCAAATCACTGATCCTCTTGAATGGCTCTGCCTGATGGGGCTATGTGCCAAGGCTTGTCTGATTGCCTCTTGCAGTGACAGTTCTGTTTGGTCCATAATGTAAATATCATTGCTCTGAAATCCTCCAGCTGTCCATGCTTTGTCACTTCTTCAAAGGAAACTGACTTGTTTTTCAATGGAGGAGAGACATTTGCTGCCCACACTCATTTGAAGCATTAAAAGGGGAGAAAAAGAGCTAAGAGTAAGTGTTGTTTCATTCTTTGTATTCACATGGAAATTCTTCAATCTCCATCAAAAGATCGGGAGAAAAATCACATTGTAATTCAATACAAGAGCTCACAGCTTAACACAGAATTTTTCAAAGATGTTTCACTTGATCCTTTAAAAATTACAAAAACCATGAACTGTGTAGCTCCGGGGTTCATAATTTTCCTTACCCTCCTCAGTCTCTGTCTCTATCTTGCTTTCCTACCTACACTCCATCTGTGTGGTCCTGTGTTAGCATGCAGAGCTTCTTTAAATGGGGGCTAGGAGAGGTAGTGGGAAGTATGCAGCAATTCAGGTTTATCTAGCTGCAATACTTTAACCCCTCGATTATCTCATCTCTTAGAATATTGTAACTGGTCTCCCTTCCTTCAGTTTCCTTATTCCAGGCTTTCTTCCACACTGCTACCAGAATTACCTTACTAACAGATAAAACTGATCATGTTACTTTCTTGCTTAAAAACTACCACTGTTGGCGACTTGCGGTGGCTCACACCTGTAATCCCAGCACTTTGGGAGGCTGAGGTAGGAGGACTGCTTGAGTCCAGAAGTTCAAGACCAGCCTGGGCAAAATAGCGAGACTTTGTCTCTACAAATAATAAAAAAATTAGCTGGGCATGGTGGCATCTGCCTGTGGTCCCAGCCACTTGGGAAGCCAAGGCAGAAGGATCACTTGATTTCAGGCAGTCAAGACTGCAGTGAGTTGTGATTACACCACTATACTCCAGCCTGGGCAGCAGAGCAAGACCCCATCTAAAAAGAAAAAATTACCACTGGCTTCTCAGTCCAGACTTTCTAGACTGCCACTGTAACTCCCCAGTGGGTTAATCTTACCTGCCGCTGAGATAGATAGTTTATCAAGATGGAAGAATTGCAATAAAGAGCTTAATACACATAGAAGCAGCTAAATGGGAAACCAGAATTTTATTATTACTCAAATCAGCCTCCCCCAAAATTCTGAGGCTGGGGTTTTTCAAGGATAGTTTGGTAAGCAAAGATCTAGGGAATGTGTGCTGCTGATTGGTTGGGGATGCAATCATAGGGGTGTGGAAAACAGTCCTCTGCTGAGTCTAGTTCTGGGTGGGGGCCACAGAGGAGTCACTGGTCGCAGTGGAATCATCCAGTCATCAGAAATGCAAAACTCAGAAAAGACATCTTAAAAAGCCAATCTTAGGTTCTACAGTAGTGATGTTATTTACAGGAATAACTAGGGAAGTTGCAAATCTTGTGACCTCTGGAACAATGACTGGTAATATGAGAACTCGGGCCCCTTTCGTAATCCTAAACTTGTACCTTTTTAATTAGCTTTATGAAGGTGTTTTCATTTTGAGAAAGACTATTATCATTTAAACTATAAACCATAAGAAATTTCTGGCCAGGCAGGGTGGCTTACATCTGTAATCCTAGCACCTTGGGAAGCCACAGTAGACAGATACCTGAGGTCAGAAGTTCGAGATGGCAAGACACCATCTCTACTAAAAATACAAAAATTAGCCAGGCATGGCGGCAGGTGCTTATAATCCCAGCTACTTGGGAGGCTGAGGCAGAAGAATTGCTTGAACTGGGAGGTAGAGGTTGCCGTAAGCCAAGATCGCACCACCATACTCCAGCCTGGGTGACAGAGCAAGACTCTGTCTCAAAAAAAAAAAAGCCAGGGCCAGGCACAGTGGCCCATGCCTGTAATCCCAGAATTTTGGGAGGCCAAGGTGGGCAAATCACCTAAGATGAGGAGTTGAAGACCATCCTGACCAATATGGTGAAACTCTGTCTCTACTAAAAATACAAAAATTAGCCAGGAATGGTGGCACATGCCTGTAATCCCAGCTACTCGGGAGGCTGAGGCAGGAGAATTGCCTGAACCCAGGAGGCAAAGGTTGCAGTGAGTTGAGATTGTGCCACTGCACTCCAGCCTGGGCGACAGAGTGAAACGCCACTGGGCAGTTTCACCTGAGGTCAGGAGTTCGAGACCAGCCTCGACCTCAACTGGGAGGCCGAGATGGGCAGATCACCTGAGGTCAGGAGTTCGAGACCAGCCTGACCAACATAGAGAAACCCCATCTCTACTAAAAAATACAAAAAAATAGCCAATGTGGTAGCACATGCCTGTAATCCCAGCTACTTGAGAGGCTGAGGTAGGAGAATCACTTGAACCAGGGAGGCAGAGGTTGCAGTGAGCTGAGATCACACCATTACACTCCAACCTGGGCAACAAGAGCAAAACTCCGTCTCAAAAACAAAACAAAAAAGCTGGGCACAGTGGCTCATGTCTGTGATCCCAGTGCTTCAGGAGGCTGAAGCAAGTGGATCACTTGAGGCCAGGAGTTTGAGACCAGCCTGGCCAACATGGCAAAACCCCATCTCGACCAAAAAAAATAGCTAGGCCTTATGGCATGCGCCTGTAGTCCCAGCTACTGGGGAGGCTGGGGCACAAGAGGCAGAGGTTGAACCCAGGAGGCAGAGGTTGCAGTGAGCCTAGATCATGCCATTGCACTTGAGCCTGGATGATAGAGTAAGACTCTGTCTCAAAAAAAAAAAAAAAAAATTAGCTGGGCATGGTGGCTCTTCCACCTGTAATTCCAGCTCCACAGCTACTCAGGAGGCTGAGGTGGAAGAATTGCTTGAACCTGGGAGGCACAGGTTGCAGTGAGCCAAGATCACACCACTGCACTCCAGCCTGGGCAACAGAGTGAGACCCTGTCTCAGAAAAAAAAAAAAAATTCTCCCAAAGTTAGCTCAGCCTATACCCAGGAATGACCAAGGGCAGTTTGAAGGTTACAGCAAGATGGAGTTGATTAGGTCAGCTCTCTTTCACTGTCATAATTTTCTCATTGTTATTGCAAATTTTCTCACTGTTATTCCTGTTTAACCACAAAAAGCTTTCGTGGCGGGGTGTGGTGGCTCACGCCTGTAATCCAAGCACTTTGGAGGCCAAGGTGGGCGGATCACCTGAGGTTGGGAGTTCAAGACCCCTGACCAACTTGGTGAAACCCCATCTTGTAAAAAAAATAAATAAATAATTTTTATTTTAAAAAAAAAAAGCTTTCATGATTTGGCCCCCTTGCCTACCTGATAAGCTTCACCTCCTTCTACATTTCCTCTTAAACTCTTACAGGCTACTGTCCATTGGATCATGAATTCCTTAAAGTCAGAAACAATATATTTCCAAGGCCTAACATAGCAACTGGCATATATGTAGTAAATGCTATATAAATTAATTAGTGCTATAAAATTCTAATAAGGTCACAGTGTGAGAGAACACTGAAAAACATGTGCTAGTCTCTCACCTCTCTGCTTTCCATTGCTAAGTATAAATAAGAACATGAATAAAAAAATATACAGTGTACTAAAGATTGAGTCCCTTCTTCCCCAGTACAGATTCCAGGTAACTCAGACCAAACGTCCTGTCTCAGTACCCACCAGGAAGCACTCTGCTTCTCCAAGTTGCCAAGTCCATGCCACATTTGATCTCTGACAGTCTCAAGGTGTGTCACTCAGACCCAATGCCCTGTCTCAGTACCCACCAGGAAGCACTCTGCTTCTCCAAGTTGCCAAGTCCATGCCACATTTGATCTCTGACAGTCTCAAGGTGTTATAATGGGAAAGGATTTGGCTTTTCCTTGTATGCACAGAGCTTTTGATCTCGGTAGGTTCCAGACAGATTTCTCATATTTGGCCATTCTTTCTTCCTAGGTCAATCACTTCTATCCGGAGTGAACTGATTCCGTATCTAGTGAGAAAACAGTTTTCCTCAGCTTCCTCACAACAGGGACAAGAAGAAAAAGAGGAAGATCTAAAGAAAAAGGAGCTGAAATCCTTAGGTCAGTGCTTGGGTTGGTTCAGGAAGAGGTGCAAGGGTAGCAGCACCTTTGGAAAGAGTGGTTGGGCAGCTTAGCCCAGCCCAAGATGCCTGTCTCAAGGCAGCAGACTGTTGTCTAGTTTACAAGGCAAGACAGGTGTGCCGACTCACTCCCTGAGCCCTGGGTAAGCTTGCTCAGGCAGATCCTGTCACTGTGTTCTCAGTGACAGGCTAATCATGCCTTCAGCCACATTCTCTGATTCATAGCTCTGGTTTAGCTGTGTTCCTCACTAGACCATTTTGCCTTTAAACTCCACCTGCTACTTATTCCCCTTTTCTCTAGGCTCTGGGCAGCCCTGTTCCTGATTAAACTCAGCCTCTTTTATCAAGGGAAGGAAGGTGAAGGAATGTACAATTGCAGTCCAGCCACAGGCCAACCAGCTGTCTCCATTCTAGGATCTGAAGATGAGATCTGTCTTGTTTGCTGTCATATCCCTAGTCCCTGGCCCAGGCGTGGGCTTATAGTAGATGTTCTGAAAAAGTATTTGTCAGATGAATAAACTGACAGTGCAGCATGATGATTAGAACTCTCTGATAGAGAACTGGGCATTAGACACTTCTGGATTTGAAATCTGACTCTGCCTTTTATTAGCATTGTGATTTGAGGCTGGTTACTCAGTCCTCTGAGCCCCAGTTTTTTTTTTTTTTTATCAGAAAGTAAAAGATATCAAAGGGTCATTTGATCAAAGGAGAGCTGAAAAGCTAGAGCCCTGGTACTCCAGGCTCCAAGTTCTGTGCTCTTTCTGTCATAGCACAGCAACCAGGTATGGTAATAGAGACTAGTAGCACAAAGTCAACCCAGCTGCCACTAAAGCCTGGACACCTGCTTGTGTTATTTCATGATTTACAAGGGCCATCTGTTTTATTTTCCCTAGAGGTCTTGATTACTTGTCAAACATGCTTTTAGGACCTCTTTTTAAGCATCTTTATTTCATATGATATTTCAGGGAAGTACATTGCCTCTTTTAGTTTGACTTTCTCTTACAGATTTTAGTGGGATTTCCTCAGGGTTCATGTTTTATGGGTGAGTTCCATGGGAAGATGTGTGAGCTGTAACGTCTTTCAAAACTTAACTCAGAGCCAGGCATGGTGGGGCACACCTGTAGTCCTCACTGCTCGGGAGGCTGAAGTGGGAGGATCGCTGAATCTGGGAGTTTAAAACTAATCTGGACAACATAGCAAGACCTTGTCTCTTAAAAAAAAAAAACTTGACCGAGTATATATCTATTCTGTTATCTCATTCTCATTTATTTCCTTGGTTTGGATGTTTGTTCTGAAGATATTTACAGTTTTATAAAAGAAGCCAATACACTGAACCTGGCTCCCTATGATGCCTGCTGGAATGCTTGTCGAGGAGATAGGTGGGAAGACTTGTCCAGATCACAGGTGCGCTGCTACGTCCACATCATGAAAGAGGGGCTCTGCTCTCGAGTGAGCACACTGGGACTCTACATGGAAGCAAACAGACAGGTGAGAGTATGAGTTCAGAAAGAAAATCATGGGGCCCCTGTCCTAGAAATAGGCTGAGCCATGTGTCTGTTTCTTCATTAGGTACACAGTAACTTGTTAAGATTCTCTGTCATTCCCCAGGTTGAGTAAGACCTGGCATGTCAAGGGAGACTACTAGGGTACTCAGGTGCAGCCAAAAGGGAAGCTGGGGGCCTGGTCCATAGTCAGGGCCTCTTTGGCTCCAGGGAAAGGCTAAGATCTTCAGAAAGGCAAACTTCTGGCCTCTGGTCAGCAGCTTCTCCTATTCTGTTCAGCATGGGGATATCTCCAGTACTTACTTCATAACAAGCAGGTAAATACTCTAATCATTACTCTCATGAACTAAACAGAGGCATACAGAGGAGGCTTCTCTGAAAAGGTGAAGGAGCAGAGTATACAGTGGCCAGATGGCAAAGCCTTAGGAAAGAAATGTCTATGAGAGAGAATTATCTGCAAAGAGCATTAATGAGGAGTCCCTTGCTAGCCCCTCCTTTTAATCTTGAAGTTTGTTAGATATGAAGAACAAATAGTTTCCATTGGGAGAAGCAGTGTCCTCAAAGATAAGCCAGGCCTTAATGAAGGCAGTAGGTGGAGGGGGGACAGTAAAAAGGCTAAAGGTATAGAGGAATTTTGTATTGTATAGTGAGCCCAGGAGGAAGGTTTTGGGAGGGAGGGATAATGAGACAGGAAAAGGAAATGCAGAGCAGTAGAGAGTTTAGATGAGAATAAGAAAAGAGTCCAGGCACAGTGGGAGGTCGAGGCCGGTGGATCTCTTGAGCCCAGGAGTTCGAGACCAGCCTGGACAACATGGCGAAATCCTTTCTCTACAAAAAACATTACAAAAACTAGCCAGGTATGGTGGTATGTGGCTGTAGTCCCAACTACTTGGAAGGCTGAGGTGGGAGGATCACCTGAGCCCGGGATGCAGAGGTTGCAGTGAGCTGAGATCTCATCACCATGCTCCAGACTAAGCCTAAGCAACAGAGTAAGACTCTGTCTCAAAAAAAAAAAAAAAAAAAAAAAAAAGACAGAGAATAGGAAAAGATAAATAATAGAGGGAACTACATTGGGTTGGCATTCAAGGATAACAGGTAAGATAATGAAAAGTTTAGTTATTAACATTGCTCCTGGTAGAATCCTATGAAAACATAATTGCAGATGCAGACCAGGGTGGCCATAGGGTGCATAGTAATACAAAAGAAATTGTTGAAAATTGGAATTGAGGGCGGGCGCGGTGGCTCACACCTGTGATCGGAGCACTTTGGGAGGCCAAGGCAGGAACTAAACAGAGGCATACAGAGGAGGCTTCTGAGGTCAGGAGTTTGGGACCAGCCTGACCAACATGGCAAAACTCCATCTCTACTGAAAATACAAAAATTATGAAGCCCCTTGCCGACAAAAAAAAAAAAAAAAGAAAGAAGAAAAATACAAAAATTAGCAGAGCATGGTGGTGCATACTTGTAATCCCAGCTTCTCAGGTGGCTGAGGCAGAAGAATAGCTTGAACCTGGGAGGCAGAGGTTGCAGTGAGCCCAGATTGTACCACTGCACTCCAGCCTGGGCAACAGAGTGAGACTGTTTCAAAAAAGAAAATCAGAATTGAGTCTGTGAAGAAAACCTGGCTCAGGAATCTGTAGGACCCACACCCAGTGAAACCTCAGGCGGGCCTTAACCTGGATTGGTTACAGATCCAAGGGAATCCCAAGCCAGAGAGCTTGTGAGAAATCATAGCTAATCTCACATTTACCTGTGACTAGAGTCTTTCAGGCTGGTCTGGAAAGATGTTCATGGATGACCTGAGTGGGAAGACTTGTCCAGATCACAGATGCACTGCTATGTCCACATTATGAAAGAGGGGATCTGCTCTCATGAGCATGCTGGGAAGAGTATCCTCTGAAGTGCCAGCAGGGGCTATGCAGCAGACAGGCCCAAAAGGCCTTGGGTGGAGCGTGGAAGAAAAGATCACAGGGCTGGAGGCTGAGGATTAGCCTTCACATTCCAGTGTAGCCGTGCTGACAAGGCCTCCATCAGCTAGTGTGGCTGCCACGCACAGTCCTCTAACCAGCATTCTGCCTGTGCTGGAGAATCACAGACAGGCACGCTACCTGTGCCTTCCTAATGGACTGGTACCCAAAGTTCCCCATACCTGTAGCCTTTTCAGGTTTCTCACACTGGAGAGGGAACAGTGTGAACTTCCCCTTCGTGTTTTCTTTTGGCTGGTGGATGGATGCCTCCTCAGGATCTGTCCTTGTTTTGGAATTTGTCTAAAATTGATCTCATCCTCACCTCATGCATGGTCACAGTGGTCCAAGAGGTGACCAGGAACCCAGGATGCCTATGATCAGGATTCTGTGTGTTCCTTGCCCTGTAAGTCCTCCTGTCCCAAGAAGTGCTTTGTGGGTATCTTAAAGACTTGTCTCACTGCCTCCCAGCCAAGGGACATGGCATTACTTTCAAGGAAGAGCATTCACAGCTAAGAGACTGAGGATAAGGCCATCTAGAAGCTGCTGTGTAAATAATCCTGATCCTAGGGGGAATGAAGCAGCCTCCTGCTCTCCCTCACTCAGACAGGAAGCTATGGCTGAGAACTCCCCATATCTCTGATTAGACATTGGGTTCTACCTCAGGTGTTTTCAGATCTTTAGTGAACAAATCTCTATCCTCAAGAGAAGCTTCTAAAAGCTGCTGCATAAATAATCCTGGTCCTAGGGGGAATGAAGCAGCCTCCTGCTGTCTCTCACTCAGACAGGAAGCTGTGGCTAAGAACTCTCCGTATCCCTGATTAGACGTTGGGTTCTACCTAAGATGTTTTCAGATCTTTAGTAAACAAATCTCTATCCTCAAGGTGCCCAAATTGCTGTCTGCTCTCTGTCCAGAAGAACCACCGGTCCACTCGTCAGCCCAGATTGTCAGCAAACATCTGGTAAGTGCTAGTGTGGGCAGGGCAGGCTAGGGATATTCTTTGGGAGCATTGAGACTTGTCTTTGAGAAACCAGATTGCAGCCTTCAAGTCCCGAACCTTGTTAGCCCCAGGGAAATCACAGTGGGTTTTGACAATAAAATCTCACTCAACAAGACTGCCTGGGCAAGTACTGACCTTGTAAGGAAGGGTTCATTACAAGGTCAGACACAGGAGACTCAGACCCAGGAGCTCTCAATCTGTTCCCCTTCTAACTCTGATTTGAGCACTCTCTTTAAGAGAGCACATCTGTACACACAAGTGCATGAATGTGTATATGTGTCTGTTGTTTGTTTTGTTTTGTTTTCTTGGCAAGGGAGGAAGGCCCATGCTTCAGTTAGATTTGAGGTGATCTCAGAGGTGTTATGTGACCTTGTGGCCCTGAGAAATACTGATGATGGTCCCTCTTGCTGATGTATGTCTATAGGAAAGATCCCATTAGATCCCACTTTGAGGGATCTGGAGGGTGGTTTGCAGTTGGTTGAGATGGATGGACAGGGTTTTATATTTTGCCTTTTACAGGTTGGAGTTGACAGCCTCATCGGGCCAGATACACAGATTGGAGAGAAGTCATCCATTAAGCGCTCAGTCATTGGTTCATCCTGTTTCATAAAAGATAGAGTGACGATTACCAATTGCCTTCTCATGAACTCAGTCACTGTGGAGGAAGGGTATGTTTCCACATGTACCCACTTGAGGCAAACATAATGGAAAAATGCCTTCAAAGCATTTTTAGTAGAGAAAGAACAAGATTGGCAGAGTGGGAGGTGGGGAGATTATGAGTTCCATCTGGGACAAGTTGAATGCATGGTGATGTGCAGGAGGCCTTGGTCTACAGGGCTGGAACTTAGGAAAGAAGCTTGTGCTTGAGGTACAAGTTTGGAAGTGGCAGGCACAGAATTGATAACTGAAGGCTGGGTGTGATGGCTCATGCCTGTAATTCCAGCACTTTGGAGGCTGAGGTGAGCAGATAAGCCCAGGAGTTCGAGACCAGCCTGGGCAACAAGGCAAAACCCCATCTCTACCAAAAATACAAAAATTAGCCGGGTGTGGTGGCATGCACTTGTAATCCCAGCTACTCTGGAGGCTGAGGCAGGAGGTTTGCTTGAGCCCTGGAGGCGGAGGTTGCAGTAAGCCAAGATTGCACCACAGCACTCCAGCCTGGGTAACAGAGTGAGACTCTGTCTCAAAAAAAAAAAAAAGTGATAACTGAAGCCTTGAGAGTAGAGTAGATGAAATCACCCAGGCTGGGAGAGTGTGTGACATGAAAAAAAAAGAAACCAAAACAAAACCTTGGGAAATGGGAACAACCAACCTCAAGCAATTTTAGACATAAGGGATCTAAGGAGACTGACAAGGAATGAGCAAGGAGGGGACATATGGGGTAAGGGAGAGGACAGTTGACAAGTGAAGCCCAGGTTTCCAGTTAGGGAAAAAGTGGATGGTGATACACTCACTGAGATGAGGAAGGAGGGGCAGATTTGTGTGAGACAAGGTCTGTGTAGATCACAAGAGGTTGGAAGTGCCTATAGGACATCAGGTATGTGGAGATGTCTGGTGTTGTTTGTGGTTAGAGCTTAAGAGGAGAGGTCAGACCCAGAGATACAGTCTTTGTCTCTTTCCCAAATCATTCTTGTGATATTCTCTCTCTCTCTCTTTCTCTCTCTCTCTCTCTCTCTGTCTCTCTCCTTTGAGATGGGGTCTCTCTTTGTCCCCCAGGCTGGAGTGCAGTGATGCGATCATGGCTCACTGCAGCCTCAACCCCCTGGACTCAGGTGATCCTCTCACCTCAGCCTCCTGAGTAGCTGGGACTACAGGCATGTGCCACTGTTTTTTAGTAGAGACCGGGTTCTTTGGGACCACTGAGACTTTTCTTTGAGAAGCCAGATTGAGGCCTGTGTTTCCCAGGCTCGAATTCCTGAGCCCAAGCAGTCCTCCCCTCCCACCTCAGCCTCCCACAGTGCTGAGATTACAGGCATGAGCCACTACACCTGACCATTTTGGTGTTCTCTAACTTACTTTTCCTGTCTTCATCATTCTTTGTCTTCTACATTTACCCTTCCCCCATTGTTCTTATGAATTATAACATGAGCTCTGGAGTCAGACTGCCTAACTGACTCCTAGGTCTATCACTTATTAGGTTCTTAAAGAATTGGCCAAATTAGATGGGCATGGTGGTGCACACCTGTAGTCCCAGCTACTCAGGAGGCAGAAAAATTGCTTGAACTCAGAAGGCGGAGGTTGCAGTGACCTGAGATTGTGCCACTGTGCTCCAGCCTGAGTGACAGAGTGAGACTCTATCTAAAAAAAAAAGTCCTTAAACATCTTTGTGCCTGATTTCTCATTATAAAATGTGGTAAAACTTAACTACCTTGTAGGTTTATTGGGAGTACTAAATTAGTTAGTAAATATAAAGCTTTTTTTTTTTTTGAGACAGAGTCTCACTCTGTCACCCAGGCTAGAGTGCAATGGTGTGATCTTGGCTTACTGCCACCTCCACCTTCCGGGTTTAAGCAGTTCTTCTGGCCTCCTCAGTAGCCAGGATTACAGGCACACATCCCCACACCCAGCTAATTTTTGTTTTTAGTAGAGATGGGGTTTCACCATGTTGGCCAGACTGGTCTCAAACGTCTGACCTCAAGTGATCTGCCCACCTCGGCCTCCCAAAGTGTTAGGATTACAGGCATGAGCCACTGCACCCAGCCATATAAAGCATTTAGAAGTTAGTTGCCATTTTTATTTATTACTGTTATTGTTATTATATTGCTGCTTTATCTCATTTGACAAAGATGGCATGTTGCCAACATTGTCTTTCTGAAGAATATCTCTGATCAAGCCAGGCGTGGTGGCTCACGCCTGTAATCCCAGCACTTTGGGAGGCTGAGGTGGGTGGATCACGAGGTCAAGAGATCGAGACCATCCTGGTCAGCATGGTGAAACCCCGTCCCACTAAAAATATTAGCTGGGCATGGTGGCGCATGCCTGTAGTCCCAGCTACTCGGGAGGCTGAGGCAGGAGAATTGCTTGAACCCAGGAGGTGGAGGTTGCAGTAAGCTGAGATCGCGCCATTGCACTCCAGCCTGGGTAACAAGAGCGAAACTCCATCTCAAAAAAAAAAAAAAAAAAAAAAAGAATATCTCTGATTAGATCTTTGTTCTATTAAAGACCTTTTGAAAGTTCCCCCTTACCTTTAGAAGACATTGGAACTTCATTTCTTATGGTCTGGCTCCAACACTGAGTCTAGAATGCTATTGTGGGATGAGACCTTAGAAGTCATCCAGCCGGCCAGGCATGGTGGCTCACGCCTGTAATCCCAGCACTTTGGGAGGCCAAGGCGGGCGGATCATGAGGTCAAGAGATCGAGACCATCCTGGTCAATATGGTGAAACCCCGTCTCTACTAAAAATACAAAAAAAATAGCCGGGCATGGTGGTATATGCTTGTGGTCCCAGCTGTTCGGGAGGCTGAGGCGGAAGAATTGCTTGAACCCAGGGGGCAGAGGTTGCAGTGAGCCAAGATTGCACCACTGCACTCCAGCCTGGTGACAAAGCAAGACTCCATCTCAAAAAAAAAAAAAGAAGTCATCCAGCTGAAATTCCTAAATTTTTATGGATGAATAAATTGTAGCATTCCAGACTTTTTTCTCATTGCACCCCTGCTATGCCATGTCCTCTTCCAGACTCCTGGATAAGACTGGCAAACATCACCATTATCTTAAACCAGAACTACACTTGCCTTCATCCATTTGATCACCTGGTTCCAAGTAACTCATGAGGCTTTGTAGACCTTCCAAGGAAGACAATGGCGTAACTTCCCCGTATGCTGTAATTATCAACCTTTTCCTGCCTTCTGTGGGTGGGCAGACAAAGGAGCAGCTCTTTAACACCACATTAAAGTCCAGTGTTACAGCTGGGCACAGTGAGTCACACCTGTAACCTGTAATCCCAGGATTTTGGGAGACTGAGGCAGGCAAATTGCCTGAGCTCAGGAGTTCAAGACAGTCTGGGCAACATGCAAAACCCTGTCTCTTAAAAAACAAACAAAAAAATGCCAGTGTCAGTGTTTGTGTCCTAATTGACATGAAGAGACTTGGTGAGGAAACCATGGCTCCCTAAGGCACTACAGCTTCCTATGTGAGAAAAGTTCAGAGAAAAGGCCTGGCATATCTCATGGTCATTTGCTGTTTTGGAGGAGACAAGTTCTCATTCTGTCACCCAACCTAGAGTGCAGTGGTGCAATCATGGCTCACTGCACCCTCAACCTCCTGGGCTCAAGCGATCTTCCCACCTCAGCTTCCCTAGTAGCTGGACTACAAGCATGTGCCACTACACGGCTAGTTTTTGTTTGTTTGTTTGTTTGTTTGTTTTTTAGAGACAGAGTCTCACTATGTTGCCTAGGCTGGCTACTTCTTTTTTAAATAAAAAAGTTGAGGTAAAGCTATAGGCAGCCCACATAAGACTAATGAGTAGGAAGGCCATTAGAGATTACCCAATCCTGGAATTAGCTCCTGCTGATAATATCAGACATCATACATCCCATATGAACTTTTTCCCATTATTTTGGGGTCACTTAGTTTTAATTATGGCAAACTTGGGAAAGGTAATTAAATTGCAGTTAAGTGAGACTTGATTACCCTACTGCCATTCTGTCTTGGCTAAGTGGCAAAGTAAAAGCATAAAATTGTTCAGAAGGGAGTTTTTCATATTCTTTGTGTGCTTGTCTCTACCAGCAGTGGTGGGCTGCTGAGGCTTGAAAGCTTGCCGAGGCTTTCTGGACACCTGCCCAAGGTCTTCAGGGTTTGAGGGATGTTAATAGGACCACCTTGGAGAAGGTGTAGGTGAGACTATTCAGAGAAAGCTCTTGCCCATCTTTCTTATGTTCTGGCATTTTATATGACAGCTGATGCTCTGAAATCTGCAGTGTAGTGAACACTTCATTGTCAAGGCTTGAGTGTCAGCCCTGTTTTCTGCATCTTTGGTCCCCTGGTCCCAAGCAACCTCTCCTGCATTTCCCCCTAATCCAAGGTGTGTGACCCAAGCAGCAGTCTAGGGTAGCATCTTCACATGCTGGCAGGCTAGAAAGCCAGGTTCTCACCTAGGTTTTCCATGCTTTTTGCAGTTAGCAAGTGTAGCCCTCAGCACCAGATAAGAAATTACTACTTCTTATCATTACCCTGAGTGAGCTACACTCAACTGACTGCCCTGCCCACTGGGTTCCTTACATTTCTACTTCCCTTTATTTCTAACATTCACCCTGCCTGAATTGCCTCTCTTTGGAACTCTTTCCTGTAAATATCCTATCCATTTTGCAAGATCCAGTGCATTTTCCAACTCTTCCATGCAGCTTTCTTAAATTGTAATAGCCAGCCAGGCATGGTGGTTCATGCCTGTAATCCCAGCACTTTGGGTGGCTGAGGCGAGCCAATCATCTGAGATCGGGAGTTCAAGACCACCCTGGCCAACATGGTGAAATGCCATCTCTACTAAAAATACAAAAATTAGCTGTGTGTGGTGGCGCACACCTATAATCCCGGCTACTCAGGAGGCTGATGCAGGAGAATCACATGAACCTGGGAGGCGGAGGTAGCAATGAGCCGAGATCACACCACTGCACTCCAGACTAGGTGACAGAGCGAGACTCTGTCTCAAAAAAAAAAAAATGTCCAAGCACA